GGAGGGAGGATGGTGTCATTGGTGTGTTTCAATTCATGGCGTCATAATATTTTCCATGTAAGTACACACAACCTAAGATAGTACTGGTTACAACTTACCAATTTCATCTTTGTAATGAGATTGAGATATAAAGGGCATCTCATCCAAAACTTGCCACTATATTTTTTCCATGAAATCTATGGTATAATGCCAACTTAAATAAATTTACACTATGAATTTCATGCCACAGAGGTGCTAGTGATGATGATGAAGGGAAACAGACCTGTGCATATGCATTTCCTTTGGTGTATTCAGTAACGCCGTAATTGTATGTCAATTCCAGAACGGTAGTCTCATGTTCTGGAGCATATCCCATCATCGCTATGGTATACTGTGTAATGATTTAAACAAGCGATATTTAAGCAATGGTATTCATAATTTCATAGATTGCTACAAAAGTTCTGAATTGTAATGGAGAAAATAGCTAACATATTTACCTTCTGTTCTGGCCTATCAGTTTTCTTCAGAAGTTGCATTCCCAAAGCCTGCATCAGAAAGCCAAATATATTTGCATTTTTTTGTACATTTTAAGAGCAGGCATTATTTGACAGGTGAACCAGCCGAACTACTACACAGATCCAGAATGAAATAGAAATGCGAAAGTGTAATTAACGAATCTCTTAGGGTCTGTTTGGGTCGTGGTAAAAACTAGGGAAATATAAATATAAAAATAAGTGAAAATTGGAAGGAAAGAGTATACTCCGTATGAGTGAATAAAAGAAAGACTAAAACTCAACAAGTTTATGTTGGATATTACTTGATACTTCGTACTTGATGCTCACATCTTTAATCATAACTATTATAAAAAGAGATATGTTACTCCTTGGGGTAGCTGGGTAGATGCAAGCTCTTGAGTGGGATTTATTGGGGTTGTTTGGTTTGGTATAAAAAGAAATATAAACTTGAACTTAAAGTAGTAGTATTTCATTTTCATCTGCATTTTCCAAGGTAAAACCAAACATAAGAAATGGACTTTCCTTAGGTATTTTTTTATTTCTCTATTTACGGGATCCAAGCATACCCTTGTGGAGGTTGGAAATAAAGCAAATGTTTCATAAATCATAAATAAATAGATACTCCATCTGTTCCACTTTTTTTGGACATCGGGTAGTGGCCCCTAAATTAAGAAAAATGTGACAGACAAAAAGGAGTAAATAAATTCACCTTTTCATAGAACTTGATAGAGCGTTCCAGGTCACCCACACGGAGCATTACTTGACAGAGTGGTTCTGGAGTAGAACCTCGCTGAATAAGCTCAAAGAGGTAGCCATCTGGATCTTTCGCGAAAGCAATAACAGTTGATCCACCTTTGACAGGACCAGGTTCGCGAGTGATAGTTCCACCCTTAGACTTGATGTCTTCAACCAATTTGTATACCTTAAAGTATATTAAAAAAACATATACTTAAGAAAGAAAAAAAAGATTTATCTGAATACAGAGCATTTTCACACTTAGCTTTAGAAAAGGACTTACATCTTCAGTTGCAATAGCAAAGTGCCCAAAGCCCGTCCCTATATCATACTTGTCAACTCCATAATCTGAACAATGGTTTATGAAACAATTATAATGTACTACGTAAGTGCCCTACTTATTTTGATGTACTCCGTAATTAATGATTATAACATTAGTAATTCACTGGATACACATTCTTTATTTCTTTAAGGTAGGTTAGGACATTAAACATTTATTTTGAGAGAATTCCCGGCCAAACATGTTCCCCATAGTTGCAATCCTATCATGCACTTAATAAAAAATTCACGGCCCCCTTGTAATACCTCACTACTGTAAACTAAGGTTTGGTTGGGGGTTTACGGAAGGGAGAGAGATGCCTGGAGGACAAATATTTGTTTTACAACTTTTACTGAATACTAACTTAACTGTACGTGTTAGTCTTAAATAAGAAATGACAACGTAGAATATAGTTAGTTAAATCATGCATTTCTTTTTTGTTTACTAGGAATTCATTTGAATTATTGGATTTCAATTCTAAAATTTGGGATCGGGAACTTTTTTTGGGTGACATTTAAATGTTATTGAAACCCAAGTGCAAAGAATACAAGA